CCCATAATCATTTGATGTTTCCTGCTTTTTATGTTTAGGACATTAAGTAAAGGAGAGAGAATGGAGATTTAAAAAAACCCAAAAAACCCTACAGGCTTAATGTCACTATTTCTGCCTATTCCAGCTTACTACTTTTAGTTGAAAATTAGCAAAATCTTATTTCAATCAGTTATTTAAATTTTATTTCCTTTTTTATTATATAAAGATGAATGTTGGTTTGGAGACTTTCTTCTTCCCTCAAACAAGGAATATAGAACTTTTTTTCTTTACAAAGACTTGTCAGTTGCATTTAAGAAGAAGATTAAAAATATGGACTCACTCTCATATTCCCTCCATCTCCTTTTTAATATTTTATTATGAAAATCTTCAAACATACAGAAAAGTTGAAAGAATTGTGTAGGTGAACCTTGATCATATACCTATCCTTATCTCAAGCCGTTAATCCCTTTTTCCCTGATGCATTTCAAAGTAAGTCAGTGTACTTCACCTGTAAATACTTGAGCATTCACATCATTTAACTTGCTCTCATACTTTTCACAGTTTTTTGAAAATAAGGTGTTTCTTATGGGATTTATCCTGATTCATCCTTAAGGTTAAAGCTAATTTGTAGTTGTGCTATGTCCTTCTTTGCTTCTGCTTTTTAAAACAAAAGGTGCTTTTCAAGGCGTATAGTACATGCTTAGCAAGATTCAGAAGAAGATTATAAAGTTTCTTACATATGACTTAGTGCAGTGCTTTAGTTCTTATTTAACTTTTTGAAAGATTTTTAGGTGGGGCGCCTAGGTGGCTCGGTCGGTTAAGCGTCCGACTTCGGCTCAGGTCATGATCTCACGGTCCGTGAGTTCTAGCCCCGCGTCGGGCTCTGTGCTGACCTCTCAGAGCCTGGAGCCTGTTTCAGATTCTGTGTCTCCCTCTCTCTCTGCCCCTCCCCTGTTCATGCTGTGTCTCTGTCTCAAACATAAATAAACGTTAAAAAAAAATAAAAAGATTTTTAGGTAATCTCTATACCCAACATGGGGCTTGAATTTACATGGGATCAAGAGTCACATGCTCTACTGACTGAACCAGCCAGGCACCCTGAATTCGTATTTTCTATAAGGAAAATTGCAGGAGGATATCTGTTGTAAATTAAATCTTCTTTATTAGATAACTTTTAAAAGTTAAGAATCGAAGCCTGAACCTAATCTGTAAGTATCAGATATGATGAAGACCTCCAGGTCTATATATTATAAGTAAGTAGGCTTGAGTGGTTTATCCCTGATGATATCTGTGTTTTATTTCCATTTGAAAAAAAAAATTAAGCAATTCCCTCTTCTGAATACATATTTAAATATGACTACAGTGTCTAAAAAGTATGTGTTTCTAAGTAGTAAAATAGAAAAAACAAACTCTTCAAATTTTGGTGCAAATAAAGATCCCCTACTTAACCTTCTGTAACACAATAGTTCTTAGATTCATTCTTGTATTTTCTGCTGCATAGGCTTTATGATCTTTAATGGGATTATTTAATCCCTATTAGAGGGACTATTTGTAGAATAGACAAACTCTTTGACCAAAGTGCTTGATCCTGGATATTTCTACTAGTGGGACCTTTAGAGAAAGAGTTTCTCAAGCCATAATTTCTCTCAGGGACACTGCTTGTCTCCTACTTGCCTTCCTTCAGAAAATAATTCTGCATGGGCTGCATTTTAAATTTTTTCTTTTCTTTTTGTTTTTGTTTTTGTATTTTTAGAAAACAACTCTGAATTTATAAATAGCAACTCTGATCTTAAACTGTTCTCCAGTATATCCACAGCTTTGTTCTAGAGAGAATCAGTGATACGTTTAAAACTGAACATACTTGATTTGGAATATTGACATGGATCTCGTCAGTGGTTCAATCTACTATTCTTTTAATATACAAAAGAGATGTTTTAGGGAGTCTCCTTTTTCCAGGTGTAGTTACTAAAATAAAACATATTGAGTGCTAACTTTAGTTTTTTTAATCTTATATATTTATTTTTATTTGTTTTTATTTTTATTTACTTTTTTTATTTTTATTTTTATTTATTTAAAATTTTTTAGAAAAACATTTTACTTATTTTTGAGAAGCAAGAGAGCACAAGAGTGAGCGTTGTGCGGGAGGAGCAGAGAGAGAGGGAGACAACAGAATTTAAAGGAGGCTCCAGGCTGCATTGAGTTGTCAGCACAGACTGACGTGGGACTCGAACCCACCACATGAGATCATGACCTGAGTTGACGTCAGATGCTCAACCGACTGAGCCACTCAGGCGCCCCTAATACTAGCTTTTTAGCAGTCGCAGAAACATTTAGACGTCTAAGCTGATGTATAGTCCTTGAGCATTTGCTGAATTACTTATCTAAAACATACAAACTGTTAGTGTTTGTTAGATTTAATAATGAGTGTTTACTATGTGCAGGTATTGTACCAAATCAGTTCTTTATAGACAGTATCCCATTTATTGCTCACACCAACCCTATCTCCAGAAGCCCCCTGAATGGTAACATTTAGCTCTACTGTACTTCAAGAAGTCCTGCTCTTTGTATCAAGTTGAATGAATTTAACACAATGGAATTTTACCTTAGTGGGTAATAGTCTTTCTTGAAAATTTTTAAATTGGTGTTTTTTGATAGCTCATGAAGGATATTAGATACTCAACATAGATGTTATTGCTAAACCCTTTTTCTCTCTCTTGAACCTGAGAGATAGTTAGGCATTATTCAGGTTTTTACCACTGAAGATGTTAAGACTAGGGTTAGTCTTAACTGGAGCTGGATTCACCCCCTAGCCTGACTTCAAAGCCAAGCTCTTTCTGGTATGTAGCCCTGGGCATGAAGCCTTTTTAAATCATTTTATTTTTATAAAACTTATCCAGAAGGATGATTTTTTTCCCCCTTAAACAAATAAAGACATTTTATGTTTATAAAATATTTTGAGGGAACATTTTACAAAAGTACTTGAACACTAGAAAATAAAAAAGCTCATGTGAAAGAATGTAGGTCAGAAGACCTAGGATAAATTCATTGCTTGCTGCTCTTTGGATCAAGGCAATCTGATTTCTCTTAAATTGTGGTTTTCCCATCTTCCTTCTACTTTTTTTGAATAAGGAAAATGTTGATGAGTGACATTTACTACAGGAATATTTTTAGGATGAATAACATAGTATATAAGTGAAATTCCTTGATATTTTTCAGACCAAATAATTTTTATTAATTATGCTTCTCTTGCTTTATGGGCACGGAGGAGTAAACTGAAATCAATTCCAGGATGTTTTTAGAGCAGTCATTTTTATTATCTGGAGAGCGATTATCTGTGTTGCAATTTATTCTAATTTCAGTTTGGCAATATCTACATGTTTTTAAAAATTACTTGCTGAATTGGTGAGTTTTTGTTATTTTTTTGTAAGTTGAAAACACCCCTTTGCTTTAAAATTTTGCTGTGCACACACTTGGTTTAGCCTGCAGCCTATACTCGCAAAGAACCCTTTGAAAACCTAATTTTCAGAGAAGGTTTGAAAACAGGCATCTGCATGAAGGACTGTTCATTTCCAACAGGTATAAGAACTGGGGTCATAATGTGGAAACATATGACCATCTCTGCTCCTATATCTTTTGGTTGTTTGAAATTAATTTATTAGGTAGCTCTGTCTTGGTATACCTGAAACAGGTTCCAAAGCCACATTTGTATTACCTCTACCTAGTGTTTTCTAGCTCCTGGTTGATTCTCCCTCACCTTAATCACATTAGTATGAATAACTGAAGGGTTATTACACAGTTTTCAGCTTTAAGGTTTCAGAGGACTGAAGCATCTGGTCGAATTTTGGGTTTATGCTTTCTGCTCTGCAGCCAGAGCTTATTTCCTCAAGTTTTATTAAATCCCTTCTTCCTTCATTGTAAGTCCCTCTTTTCTCTAAACATCAGGCCCTTCCTCAGTAGTATCTCCTTTATTTACATATTTTATTTAGTTCAGATGATCTTCTACCTTACGAAACACTAATTCTCAAGACGCGTGTTCTAGTTCTAAAACCAAAGTCCTTGAAAGGCTTAATTCTTTGATAACTGTATGGTTGAATAATGCCACTGCTAAGCTTGGTAAACATAGGATTTTAAAATTAAAAAATACTTTAATATTTAAATTGCTAAAATTGGGTTTTTGATTAGTTTGTCTTTTGATACGTAGTCTACTCGAGGAATTGTTAATTTGTGTGTTCATTTAGTATCTGCTATTTTTTTCATCAACAGGAAGAAGGTAGATAATGACTATAATGCCCTTCAAGAAAGACTCAGTACCTTGCCTGATAAATTGTCTTATAATATCATGGTATGTTTGGTGTGTTGCTTTTAAAGTAGTATGCTGTTTCTTATAAAGATACTATGTAAAGTAAGATGTTTCTTTGCTTTATGTATATTGATTCACAAATTGACAAGCTAATAGTATCTGAAGTAACTACCATAGCAAGAGAAGTTGTTTTACTTTAAAACAATCCACTAATTGTTGTAATAGTTGGTATTTACTTTTTTTCTTTTTTTTTCAGATTTATATTAAATTATCACATTTTGGTAACACAAATGGCATAAATGTTAGAACAAAATTTGACAGATTTGGTATGCAAATTTACTTGTGTTAGAAAACTGTAATTAAGACAGAAATATGGCACTTAGTCGTTTCCTGGTAGCCAGAGCAGGAATAGACCATAATGTTGTATAATTCACAGAATTACATCCTAGAACATTGATTTTTTTATAAAAAGGTACTGCTGATTTTTGTCTGAGTGATCTTCGTATTGACATAGTGATCTATTTGTGAGCCCTGGATTAGATTCTTTCATTGCATGAATTTTCTTTTTCATGAAGACTTTGTTCTTAATTGCACTAGCCCAAATGTTTTGTAAATGTATTGTTCTTTATTATACTAGCCCAATTATTTTGTAAAATTTGTAGATTCATTAAAGCTATTTGTTAATTCCAGCTTTGTTTAAAAATGGTTATTTTATTAGAAATAATTTTCAGTTTTTTTAATCAAAGGTATTCTTTATTAACTTAATATTTCATTATTAGTTTGCTTTCATTTAGATTTATGAATGAACACAAAGTATAAACATTCAGAGACAGTGCTAATTTCTCTGAAAGCTTATGTAAATGTGCAGATTGCTTTTCTTGTTTTAACATTGATTTATTAAACTAAAGCAATTTTGTATATGTTTTCCTAGTGTAACTTTAATGTTAAATTTCTATGAAGTTGACATTTTTTCTTAGTGTCAGCACAGAGCTTTTTAAAGCTAAGTGTGTCATAAAATGTATTTTTTAGTGTTTTTAATTTTTTTGCCTCCCTTCCTCTCTCCCACATCCATCCCCCCCCCCCTCCCCTTTCAACAATAGGTACCATTTGGCCCCTTTGCCTTCATGCCAGGAAAACTTGTCCATACTAATGAAGTCACCGTTTTACTTGGGGACAATTGGTTTGCAAAGTGCTCAGCAAAGCAGGCTGTGGGCTTAGTCGAGCATCGGAAAGAACGTATGTACCAGTTACAAATGATGTATCCTTGCTGGATGTTTATTCACAAAGTGCCAAGCTGATACTAAAAGTATTGTTCATGATGTATTAGTCCAGACTATTTGTGATTCCGTTGAACTGTAGGTAGTTTGAGTAGAACCAACATTTGAGAATGTAAGCTGGAGAATGGAACATCTGAGTTGGAAAACCCACCCACATTAGTATGTTTTCAGAAATTACAAAGTATAAAAGTTGTTAATATGTGGTTTTATGAGTAGAAGTTGGGAAGACATAAGATTTGGGGTCATTTTACATTTTATAATTTGTTTCAGGTGCTTCCATAAACTTACTTTTGCTTTTAATTCTTTAGTACACAGAAGGAATTTCCTTTTCTTGTTGAACTAAGAGAGATACCTATTAGCAAAAGTAGAAACAATTTTTAAACATGCTTTTTGGTTTAGAAGAAGTCATATTTTCATCTTACAGAGGAGTCCAGGTGTGGAGAAGTTGCTACCCAAAACAGGGCCCTTGTACTTGTTCAATGATTTGAGGCCTCTGCCTCATTTTACTGAGGTGGTTCTTTAAGTTTTGTTTATCTGTGATACTGTTTGTTGGTGTATACATATGCACATATACATGTTGTAATTGGATGGGTTTGGCTTCAGTTCTAGCGTAGTTGCATTTTAAAATTAGATTTATTTAGGGGCGCCTGGGTGGCGCAGTCGGTTAAGCGTCCGACTTCAGCCAGGTCACGATCTCACCGTCTGTGAGTTCGAGCCCCGCGTCGGGCTCTGGGCTGATGGCTCAGAGCCTGGAGCCTGTTTCTGATTCTGTGTCTCCCTCTCTCTCTGCCCCTCCCCCGTTCATGCTCTGTCTCTCTCTGTCCCAAAAATAAATAAACGTTGAAAAAAAAAAATTTAAAATTAGATTTATTTAATATCTATGTTTTTATTTCTATAAAGCTTAAATTGATAGTATAATATCACCCCTACCTGCTTTTTAACCTTCTAGTTAAATGTGTGTTTGAAAATAAATTTTTGAGGATTCTTCTGTATAAATGAGGTCATATAGATAAAAAGCGGCTGAGTTTTCTAAAGCTGAAATTATTTCTCTTATACATTTGAGTGGGTACTAGTTAGAGAACTCATTTACTCAGTGAAATTGTGGGATCTATATTTGGATACTCTAATTGCAAATCAACTCCTATAAGTTTATAATTGATAACATATTTTGATCTTTTGTGACACTAATCAGAATCTTATTGTTAGGCCTGTATATAATTTCTAGCAATGGTAATTCTTTTGGCATTACTTCATGAAAATAAGTCATGTACATTAGAGGAAAAAGAATGAGCATAATTCTTTCTTAAAGGCCTTCCTTAGTGGGGAAAGCATTCTTATTTACTAGGGTGGCTCTGCTGATATGAAATCAGTTCATAGTCTGTTGAATGTTGTTCATTTTGATTATCATATGGATATTTCAGCAAAGAAATCTTTAGAAATCAGTTATGACTTCATATATTAATGAGAGAATGCTTCTAGTAGAATAGAGCTCTAGAATAGAGAAGCATGTTTTGGTAAATCATTTTCCATTGTTAAAAATGTTTTTGGGAAATGACCAAACATGACTTTTGGGATCAGTGTTGATAAAAAATAATTTTCAGAATACATACCTATACATTACATTTGAGAACCTATTATAAATTATGAAAAGTTGTTTTCTGCACACAGTTTTATACTCATTTTAATAACTAAAGAAAATGTTTAGATATATTGTGATATCTAACATTTATTAAGAAAAGATACTTTATTTTTCTTATGGAAGAAGAAATATAACAAATTAAACACACAGTCACCTACCTCACTGTTGACAGAGTAATTGGAGAAGGTGGAGGGAGGTCTGCATGTTTCAAAAGTAGTCAAAATTAAGGACAAGAATGAACTTACAAAAGGATTCAGAGGAGGTGTCTCTAAAGGAGATGATCTTTAAGAGTGGCCCATTCTTTTGTGCTCACATCTTGCATTTTTGCCATTTAACATGAATATGATCAGCTTTTTAAAATTTTTTCAAAAATTTTAAGATTATTAGAGTGAAATTGACTTTTTAGTTTGGTATACTGTTCCGTGAATCATGACATATAAGTCAAGATTTATTTAACCATTGCCACTATCAGAATATAGGATACAGGATACACTAGTCAGGGCAAACTCCCTCATGCTTTCCCTTTGTGGTCACACCCTACCTTTGTAAGACCTGACAATCACAATCTGTATCTATTACTATTAATTTTACCTTTTCCAGAATGTTGTAACCTTCTGAGACTGACTTCTTTCACTCACCATAATGCCTCACTTAAGTTGTACTGTGTATGAAAAGGTCATTCTTTTTTCCTGCTCAGTATTTTTCCATTATATTCACGTACCGCAGTTTTTCTGTTCATCCATTAGAGGACATTTGGCTTGCTTTCATTTTCTGGAATTACGAACAGAGCTGACATGAACCTTTGTGCTTTGTGTTACTATTAAATTTCTTTGCTGTTGATAAAACACCTACAAGTTAGATTACTAGGTCATATGGTGAGTGTGTGTTTAGTTTTTAAGAAACTTTCAAGCTCTTTTCCAGAGAAGCTGTATTGTGTAACATTCCCCCAGTCCTAGCAGGTATGAAAGCCCTAGTAGCTTTGTGTCCTCACCAGCATTTGGTGTTATTTTTAAAAATTTAAGCCATTTCAGCAGATGTAAAGCGGTTTTAATTTGTATTTCCCTAATGGCTAATGATGTTGAGCATTGATTCATGTACTTACCTGTCATTTACGTATCGTCTTTGATCTGTTGAAGTCTTTTGCTCATTTTTAAAAGTTTGGTTGTATTTTGTCTTACTCTTGAGTTTTGAGAGTTCTTCATATATTCTGGATACAAGTTGTTGGTTAAATATGTGATTTGCAAATATTTTTCTCAGGATGCATCTTGTCATAACAGTTTATTTCCAGAGCAAAGTTCTTAATTTTGAAATCTAGTTTATTTGTTTCTTTTATGGATGATGTGTTTGGTGTCATATCTAGAATGCTTTACCTAATCTCAGTTCATGAAGATTTTCTGTTTTCTTCGATAAAATGTTTATAGTTGAACATTTTATACTTGCATCTGTGACCCATTTTAAGTTAATTTCCGTACAAGGTGTGAGGTTCAAGTCTCAATATTTTTACGTATGGATGTCCAGTTGTTCTAATGTCATTTGTTGCAAATCCTTTCTTCATTCAGTTGCCTTTGTACTTTTGTCAAAAGTGAATTAGTAGTCCACATCACAAAAGGATACCATTTCATCCCAACTAGAATAAGCTGTAATTAAAAAGACAGACAATAACTTGTATTAGAGAGGATATGGAAAACTCAAACCTCATATGTTGCTGGTGGGAATGTAAATTGGTGTAGCCACTTTGGAAAACAGTTTGGAATTTTTCATAAAGTTAAACATTGAGTTTAGCATATAGTTCCTTTCCACACCTAGGCAGTATACCCAAGAGAAAGTAAAAACATGTGTCTGCACCGAAACTTGTACATGAATATTAGTAGCATTATTCGTAATAGCCAAAAAGTGTAAACAACCTAAATGTCTGTCACCTAGTGAATAGATAAATGTGAATGTTGTTTGGCAAGAAAAAGAAATATGCCTTGAAAACAATATGGTAAATGAAAAAAGCTACAAAAGACTACATATTATATGATTCCGCTTATATGAAATATGTAGAATAGGCAGTGTATAAAACAAAAACTCTATTAGTGGTTACTTAGGGCTAGGAAGGTATGGGGGAAATTGGAGAGAGACTTCATTTCTTTGAAAAGGTTATGTTTGGAGATGGCACAAAATTTAAAGGATTTCTTTGAAAAATAAGTATCCCTTCTCCTGTCCCTTAGCATCCATTTGGTCAACTTGGAGACATTACTGTTATCAGGATCATACCATTTTGTGTGTTTGCATCTAAAGACTTATGCATTCCTAACCCATTATATACACACCTACTGAAATGGTAGCATGTTTTTTTTACATCTTGCTATCTTTGTTAATGGCTGCAGAGCGTTGTATGGGTATGACATAATTTATTTAGCTACTCCTTTTTTGATCATAATGATAAATAATAAGATTATCTCCCACTCAACTGATTTCCCTCCTTTTCCCCCATTCTCCCTCACCTTTTCTCCCTCTATTCCTTCTTTCCATCTGTTTATTGTGGTAAAATGTACATAAAGTTTATCATTTTAGCCATTTTTAAAGGTACAGTTTGGTGGTATTAAGTGTATTTATGGTGGTTGTTTAACCATAATCACTATCCATCTCAAGAACTTTTTCATTTTCCCAAACTGAAACTCTGTATTATAAACAATAACTCCTCATTCCTCCCTCCCAAGTAGCACCCGGTAAGCAATATTCTACTTTTTCTGTCTGTGAAATTTGTTTATTCTAGATACCTGATATAAATAGAATCATAATATTTGTCTTTTAGTGACTAGCTCATTTCACTGAGCATAATGTTTTTAGGATTCATCCATGTTGTAGAATGCATCAGAATTTCCTTCCTTTTTAAGGTTGAATTATATTCTATTGTATATATATATACATTTTGTTTATCTGTTCTTATGTCAGTGGTCACATGGGTTGTTTTTACCTTTCGGCTGTTGTGAACATGGGTATAAAAAATATCTGTTCAATTCTCTGCTTTTGACTGAGGTATATATTCAAAAATGGAATTGCTAGGTTGTATGGTAATTCTATTTTTTTTGATTCAATAATTTTAATGTTCATTCTTGATATTAAAAATTAAATAGGACTAGATAGACATTTCCTTAGCCTGATATATATTTATATATCTCAGCCAAGAAGACTGCTTGCCAAATGGCTTGCCAAATGACAAGCACTCCCAATAAAGAACATGGCAAAAACTTCCATTTTTACTAAAATTATCTAACATAGGTCTGAAGGCACTAGTCAATAATTCTGAATAAGAAGAATCATCAGGGGACTTG